TCTATAGTCCAGTCTATAGTCTAGTCTATAGTCTAGTCTATAGTCTAGTCTATAGTCTAGTCTATAGTCGTCTATAGTCTAGTCTATAGTCTAGTCTATAGTCTAGTCTATAGTCTAGTCTATAGTCTAGTCTATAGTCTAGTCTATAGTCTAGTCTATAGTCTAGTCTATAGTCTAGTCTATAGTCTAGTCTATAGTCTAGTCTATAGTCTAGTCTATAGTCTAGTCTATAGTCTAGTCTATAGTCTAGTCTATAGTCTAGTCTATAGTCTAGTCTATAGTCAAGTCTATAGTCTAGTCTATAGTCTAGTCTATAGTCTAGTCTATAGTCTAGTCTAGTCTATAGTCTAGTCTATAGTCTAGTCTATAGTCTAGTCTATAGTCTAGTCTATAGTCTAGTCTATAGTCTAGTCTAGTCTAGTCTCTAGTCTATAGTCTAGTCTATAGTCTAGTCTATAGTCTAGTCTATAGTCATAGTCTATAGTTAGTCTATAGTCTAGTCTATAGTCTAGTCTATAGTCTAGTCTATATTAGTCTAGTCTATAGTCTAGTCTATAGTCTAGTCTATAGTCTAGTCTATAGTCTAGTCTATAGTCTAGTCTATAGTCTAGTCTATAGTCTAGTCTATAGTATAATGTATGTGCAACATTGCTTTGGAATCGGGAGAGAGAGGGAAGATTACAATGATATTTTTTGGCCTCTAAAGGGTTCATTGATAATTTACACCTATAATTTTCAAATTAACCCTTGTAAGTAACAACCTCTATTGAATTGCATTAAACGTGCGGTAATCTAAATAAGCGACGAAAAGTCATTAGCATTTTAATCCACTACTTGATAATGAGTTTGCAAATTGCGATATTAATACACAAAAAACTCTAAAAATCGATAAAAGCTCGTAGACTGAATGCAATTATTAAATATTCACAAAAATGTTCGATCTTGAAGAAACTGTTGCAAAACATGTTGATTTCTCAGATCAACTCACATGTGTATTAATTTTTTTTTTAAACAATTTTAGGATTTTTTTGTTGACGCATTTTAAAAAACGATGTTTTGAGGTTAAACGTGAGTTTAAAAAAATTAAAAAAAAATATATAATTAATGATAATAAATACCTTTAATAATATTAAAATGGAAACATGTGACCATTTAAAATAAGCTGAAAAAAACAAACAAGTTGTTGAATGAATCATTTTAATGCAATAAATAAAAAACTTAAAATAAAAACTTTTGTCAAAGGGGTGTGATTTGCAAAAAAAAAAAAAAAAAAAATTTAAGAAAAAAATTACCAGACACAAATCTTGTGACTTCAAACGTAATAAAAATTTGTTTTGTTTTTGTATAAAACTTATTTTTATTAACAATATGTTAATTTTATGGCATAAATTTTATACAATTTCTTTATCTTGCTGGTATTAAAACAAATCAAACAACAACAAATTTAGCCATTTGAAATTAATTTCCGTTTTTACAAAATTATACTTATTTACATTTTTCTTATGAATAAAATTTTATAAAATATATTATTTAAAAATGCATTTTATTTATTAAGTTCTTTGTTTATTTATTAATAGTATTTTATAGAAATTTTTGCAATTTAAATTTATATAGGAAATTGGTTTTTTGCTCTTTTTCTAGTGGTTGAAAACACTTGAAATTTTATTTTAATTATAACAATTTGTTTTTGTTGTTGTTGTTTTACTAACTATAAAATGTAACACACCCTCGTGCTTTTTAGAAAACAGTTATTGAAAAGAATCAATTCATTACAATTACAAATAATAAACACATGATGTTTACACTTAAATTGTCAAAATAACCATGACCTTCATGTGTGTTTGCCATAGTTTTGACAGAGCAAACAAACTTTAATTATAATAATTATTTAACTGTTACATTAGTAAAGTTGTTATAATTTTAGATAAATATTTATTTTAGTTTTCGAATATTTCCGCAATATGTTGAGTTAAATAAAGATTTATTTAAAATATTAATGGAAAATTTATTAATCACATTTATGCCAATTAAATTTTTATTTCAAATTTTGTTAGAAATTTTATAACTTTTTTTTTATTTCCACCTCTGATCTGTTGACAATGTTAAAATATTGCCTGTTCTTATGTATATTAACCTTGAAAAGAAAAATCATTTCGCATTTCTTTTAAGAGAAAGACATGAAAACATAAACAATACAAAATATGTTGTTGAGAAAGTTATAAAAGAAATTTTTAAAAAATTTCATAAATATTTTCTTTAGTGTTGTTTTTTCACACATTTTTCCTCAAAAGACAAAGAAAACTTTCCATGTTTTACGTCAGAAACTAAAGGGTGAATGAAACGTGTGCTAATATGGAAAATCTAATACGTATATAGTCGGGATTTTAACTATGCCCTACACTGAAAAAGGGAAAACCATAGGTTTCAATAGTACATTGCTATATACCACCTCTTAAACACTAAAAACCGATAATTCTCACTCCGAAACTTCTTAAATCTCCCTTTAAAGAAGATCAACTGAGCGACTTCTTAATCAATAGATCATTTATAACCCGAATAGCACATTGGGACCAAGAGAGTTCGAATTTTAAACTAAAAAACTTTGAACGAGACTTTAGTGGCTTAAAGAGTTGTTGTAACTTTTATGTTCAAAATTATTTGGAAAATTTTTAACAACCGATAATTCTCACTCCGAAACTTCTTAAATCTCCCTATAAAGAAGATCAACTGAGCGACTTCTTAATCAATCGGTCATTTATAACCCGAATAGCACATTGGGACCAAGAGAGTTCGAATTTTAAATTAAAACACTTTGAACAAGACTTTAGTGGCTTAAACTTTTATGTTCAAAATTATTTCGAAAATTTTTACCACAAAATATTTTTTTTTGAAAAATATTCTCAGTTTTGATTTGTACAGTATTTTCAAATTCGTTTCAAATATAATTATCTCGTTCTATGATTTGCGTATTTTTTTATTAGTTTCTTACCTAAAAGAAATTTTGTCATTTTGCCAATTTTATAGAGTGAATTTTGGTCATTTTCTTGTCATGTACCATGTGAGTAGAAATTTATAATAAAATAGAAAATAAAAAATCTAATAATATTTTGATTTAGTAAAAAAATTTCTTAAAAATGTGGGTGTGCGTTTTGTTAGAGGTAAACGATCTTTTTTTTTCAAATATTGGCGTTTTACTTTCATTTGTCAACACTTGAGAAATGAAAGTAAATTAAAGGCTTAAGAGTTAAAAAGGTATTAAGGCGGCCCTTATATAGAGAAGTCGATTAGTGATTTCCCTGTGTTAGTTAAAATTAAATTAGTAAAGGCCCCCAAATATCTTTGGGATACAAATATGTAAAGTATTTTTTAAGTAAATAAGTTTACAAAAATTATCTCAATTTATTGATTAACGAATAACTAAATAAATTAAATTAAATTTATATTTGTAGAGCTAATAAAACTGTTCGTTAAACACAAAATACCCTAATAATAATTTGACACAAATTACATTGTAAATTAATAAATTAACACATTTTATCAAAACTTGTAAATTAACCAAAAAAAATTCCATAAATAACAACTTTAAGCTAATTTCAGTGAACATTATTATTAAATTAATTTATCCCCCAAAAAAAGATGACAACATTTTTTACCAGAACTCTTCAAAGTATAAACTAAACTTCCTTAACTCCTTAAAAGGTTGATGACTCTTTTTTCTTTAATAACTCCCCAAACATATTTTAACAAAAAAAGAAAAAAAATATTGCCATAAAGTCACATTTATTAATTGCTTTGAATGGACTTTAAGAATTTCACTCTGTCTGGACGATAAAGAAATCTTTGAGTCTTTCTATTGTTGGGTTAAAAAAGCCATTAAATTGAAGTTCCCTTTTTTTTTTCTTAAAATGATTATATTTTGTTGATGGTTTATTATTATATTGTTGTGTTACTTAAAAAATGTCTTTATTTAAATTTATTTAAGAATGAATAAACAAATTTTGTTTGTATAAGTTGTAACAAAGAACGATATTTTCTTTTAATAATGTTAATTAATTAAGAATTTAATGCAATTTGATTGCAATTTAAGAAAGTATCAGCAGTGACAGCATTATCTGTAGGAAAATGTGAAATATTGTTTTATGACCTTAAGATTGTGGCAATACTGGCTTTGGTCAGTGGTTATTGTGACAAAAAGTAAAAAAGTTCCAGTTAAACTTAGTTTAATTTAAGATTTAAGTTTAAACTTTTATAAATCGAGTACTTTTCAGTACTTTTTCAGATCGAAAAGTATTGAAAAATGCCTGGGACATATTAAGTACTTTTTGTATATTATCAGCCTTTTCTAAATAGACCATATAAAGACTAGTCAATGTACTAGTATGGACTACAATGGACTTATGTCTGGACTAGTCACTAAACTGGTCCATAGACCATATACTAGTTTATTGACTTGTGCATAGAATAATACCTTGACTAGTCCAAGGAATACTCAATAGATTAGTCCCTATAATAAAGTATAGACCCTAGTCCATCCACCATCGAATACACAAAATTATTCTAACTATTCCGAAGGTATTTATTTTAAACTTCTTTCTAAATTGTTCCTTAAAGACCTTAAAATCCGAATCAGCTGAATACGAATAGATTTTCTCCATCATATCTGGGATTCGAGATTTTGTGTCCTGAAGTGGAAAAAGAGTCATTTTTTGGCCCTTTTTGAGACGTTATAACAGCGCCAAGGCAACTTTATTTATAAAATGCTGTATGAGATCTGAAAGTCCATGCTTAAAAATAAAGGGGTAATATCTGACGATATCTCGAATCTCAGATGTGATGGAATCTGTCTGATTCAGCTCAATCCCTTAGAAAAGAATAAGTTGGTCTTAGAGATTCGACTTTTTTTATAATTTTGTCGGTAATTTTTACAATTTCAGAAATATGTTTAATTTAGAATTAATATTTAAAGTTTTCTAATACCAAATTTCTTTCCTTACTTTCAGATTGCTTATCATGTCGCCAGATCTTAAACATATTAACCATGTTCGGCTTTATGCTGAACTATGCCCTGCGTGTAAATCTCACTATTGCCATAGTCGAAATGGTTAGACCTGAAAATCTTACAAATTCCGATAGTACCGTTAGCACAGCAATAACATTATTAGAAAATACCACCTCATCTTCAGCATCGGCAGCAGCATTGACAGCAGCCAACAATTTAAGTACAATAGCAACAGATGATAAATATGATGAAAAATTTCCCTGGGATTCATATCAACAGAACTTTGTGCTCGGTTGCTTTTTCTGGGGTTATATACTGACAGAGTTACCGGGTGGTCGTCTGGCTGAATTGATTGGTGGTCGTCGTGTATTTGGTCATTCCATGTTATGGGCTAGTTTATTGACTTTGATAACCCCTTTGGCTGCCCATTTGAATTATGTGGTTTTGATAATAGTACGTGTAGTCTTGGGTTTCATGTTGGGTGCTTCTTGGCCTGCCATTCATCCTTTGGCCGCTGTTTGGATTCCACCCATGGAAAGATCAAGATTTATGTCTAATATGATGGGTAAGTGGTTTTGAGAAAGTATGTGAAATTTTAAATTGATTTTAATGTTTTTGTTGTTTTTTCTTTGTTCGATTGCAGCTTCCTCTTTGGGTGCAGCTATAACTATGCCTGTGTGTGGTTATCTTATTTCGGTTGCCGGCTGGGCTAGTGTTTTCTATTTGACTGGTAAGTGTGTGTGTGTGTAAACGTGTGATCTTTATAATGACATTTGTTTCGAAATGAGCTGTTTAATTAAATTTGTAATTGAATTTCAATTATAATTTGCTTAATTGAATAAACATAGATTTGAATGTTTTTGTGTTAAACGTGTGTAATGAATCTATGTTATATTAAGGGACTAATCTGATATAATATAGGTTTATTACTTTTAGAAGAAATGTTTAAAGCCAGTTTACATTATACCACTAGTTATATTATCTATCAAAATTTTGTTTAGAAGAGAATGGTTGGGTTCGTCTAAACACAATATGTCATCTAATTTCTTATAATTAAATTGATTTAATTAAATTCTAGAATATTTTATAATTGTAGATATGTTGTGGGGTTTAAAGTGAAAACAAAGTACATAAGGATTTTTTTAAATAGATTTATCATTGCGTAATAATCATTGTGTAATAATTTTGTAACAAAGAAATATGCATAATACGAAGCTAATTAATCAAGAGAGGAGGGCATTAGTCATAGGTTATCTGTTAGAAGAATAATTTTATTATATCAATCTTACTTAGTCATCAAAGCTAAGGGGAAAGATCAATCCTAGAAGAATCCCAAGTCTAATGCTTTATTCTTTTAAATTTTAAGAAAATTTCAAAACTCATTTCAATATTCTAGACAACACTATTAAAATTATTGATAAGGCTTAAGGTAACGATCAAGTTCATATAGTTTTTCGTTTAGTTTATTACTGAACATTTTTAAATGTTAATGTTTGTTTTAAAAGTTTTAAATAACTGTCTCTCAAATATATAACAAATCGGCAAAAAATTTCCAAGGAGAGATAAAAATGTTTAGAGTACTAATGAGAAAAAAAATGCATTCCAAAACCTCGTCTAAAACACGTACATAATGACAATTCTATTAATTATTCAGAAACCCATACATCTGAGTCATAAATTATACTACAAAGCACAAAAATTCTACTAATAAATTACAAAAATGATTTACAAGTAATAATAATAAAATAATAATAATGAAAATCCCAATAACAATATTTTACTAAATCGTTAATAAACAAAGAAAAAAAGTAAATAAATCTCTGTATTATCTTGTTTCTAGGTGCCATTGGTCTTTTATGGTCAATCTGTTGGTTCACATTTGTCTACGAAACCCCAGCTACCCATCCACGCATCTCGGCGGAGGAAAGACGTGAAATTGAGGAGGCTATTGGTACATCGACCTCTAAGAAACGTCCCAGCTATGTGCCATGGGTAGATCTATTGTGTTCACCCGCTGTCTGGGCTATTATCATAACTCATGGTTTATCAGTATTCGGTTTCTTTACCGTCATTAATCAATTGCCCACATTTATGAAACAAATTTTGCATTTTGATATTAAAAAGGTATGTGTGTGTGTGTGGTTTTTGAGTTAAAAGTGAGGGTGTGGAATAATTTATGTTTCTGTTTATTTCAGAATGGTTTATTTTCGTCCCTGCCTTATCTGGGTAAATATGTTATGGCTTTGAGTTCATCAGTATTTGCTGATTATTTGCGCAAGAAGGGTACTTTGAGTACAACGGCAACAAGAAAGATATTCACTGCTTTTGGTAAGTTTTAAAGATTTGAAGAATTTTTGTAAACTAGGTAAAGACCTAAAGATCAACAATCATTTTTTGTTGAAATTCAGATTAATAGCAAAAACTGAAATATTTGTAAAGAACGGATTTTTTATGAAAATTTCGATTTTTATAGGATTTATAGAGAAAATTTGGATAGTATTTAGCGAAACCCCAATTTTTAGTCAAAATGAGTCTATAAATTGACTTATCAGTTGATTTGATTAGAAATTAGCCAAAAACAAAATGAACCAAATTAAATTTAAAATGTTTTCTTTTTAATTTCTTAATTTACAGCTCTTACAACTCCCGGACTTTTGATGGTGGCCCAAGTATTTTTAGGCAGTGAAGCAGGCTGGTCTGTAGCAATATTCACTTTGGCGCTATTCGCTCACGGTGCTGTTACGCCCGGTTATTTGGGTAATGGTTTGGATATTGCACCCAATTTCAGTGGCACCATATTTGGTTTAGCTAATACTCTATCCTCATTCGGAGGTTTTCTATCCACCTGGATGGTGGGAGCTTTAACATATGAAGATGTAAGTTTTTTTTTGCAAATAATTTTTGAGATTTAAAATTCTAATAAAAATATTTTCTTTTAGAAATCCTATCACCAATGGCAAATAGTATTTTGGATTTTGGCAGCTACTTACATTTCTGGTGCTTTAGTGTACCTCGTCTTAGGTACTGGTGATTTACAGCCCTGGAATAATCCACCAGAACGTACAAAAGTTTCGGATGTACATGCAGAAGAAGGTGTACCTTTAAAGAATGAAAAGATTACAAATTAATTTTAAGTAAAAAGTCTAATTATTTTCTTGTTTTTTAATGTATTATACTAAACATTAGTTTTTTCGTTTCTTAATTTAAAAACTATTTTCACAACAAGGTGCTCTATCCTAAACAAAAAAACCTATAATACTAAATTAGCAACAATTTTTAAAAAAATGTAAAAAATACTTAAAAAAATCTTCTTACTTAAAAAAAAACCAAGTCCTTCACACACAAAAAACCCACCTTAGAAAATACTTAAAAAACACTATAAATATTAAAAGAAGAAAAATACTTGCCTTAAATATATAAAGGAAAAATACTTTTCTTATATTAAAGACATTATTTTTTTAGTAAACTTCACTACAAATTAATTTAAATTTAGTTTTAGACATTTTTTAAAAACAAAAAATGCAGAGGGAATCTCTCTTTTTTTTTAATGCAAAATATTAATTAAACAGTTTTTTGCATAAACATTTTCATTTATTAAAAACATTTTGTTTATTTCTTTTTATTATTACAAATTTATTATTATTGTTTAAATTATAAAAGAATAGTAAGTTTTAGTAAACTAAAAAAAAGCAAAAACATTTCTTAAAGCAACAACATAATTAATTTCAATATTTTCACACTACAAAGAAAAACCAGTAAACAATTAATAAATTAATTGAGAAGTTAACAACAATAGATTTTGTAAATATAACAAATATTTTAATTACATCAAGTTGCTCACACAAGTTTGAAAAACAACAAATTTGTTTTGATGAGATGATTATCGCAAACAACAGATCCATAATGATAATTTAAATAACAAGCTTAATGCATGAAATTTAAATTGTTTCAAACTTTTATAAGAAAGTTAATAATTCGATCATTTTGTTAAAAAATGAACAAATTATGAAAAAAAGTGTTTTTGTTTCTTTTTCGGTTAACCTTTTAATTTGAAATTTTTAAAATGTTTGTAGCCATTAAATAGCAATTACTTTCTTATTTAAGAAAGTATTTTGTTTAAAATTTAGAATTGCTATTTTTCATCTTTAGTTTATTAAACAAGTTTTACTAATACATATTAAAAAAATAATATAAATATAATTATTTTTATTTTAATGCAAATTTAGTTAGTTTTATAAATATTATCTGTATGTACGTCATAAAAATTTGTGTATACGTTTCTTTTAAAATTTATACTTTTTAATTAATATTATTTTATATATTTTAAAAAGTTATTTAATAGTAAACAATTTTATTAAATTTAGAGCTAATACAATGCTGTGTCAAAATAAATTTAAATAAACTACAAAAAAAAGAAGAGTTTGTTTTAGATATTCTGGGGGGTAATCTGTGTAAAAGATTACATTAAAAAATAATATAAGCTAGAATATAGTCTTGTCTATAATTTAGTCTATAGTTTAGTCTATAGCCTAGTCTATTGTCTAGTCTATAGCCTAGTCTATTGTCTAGTATATAGTCTAGTCTATAGTCTAGTCTATAGTCTAGTCTATAGTCTAGTCTATAGTCTAGTCTATAGTCTAGTCTATAGTCTAGTCTATAGTCTAGTCTATAGTCTAGTCTATAGTCTAGTCTATAGTCTAGTCTATAGTCTAGTCTATAGTCTAGTCTATAGTCTAGTCTATAGTCTAGTCTATAGTCTAGTCTAGTCTATAGTCTAGTCTAGTCTAGTCTAGTCTATAGTCTAGTCTAGTCTAGTCTAGTCTAGTCTAGTCTAGTCTAGTCTAGTCTAGTCTAGTCTAGTCTAGTCTAGTCTATAGTCTAGTCTATAGTCTAGTCTATAGTCTAGTCTATAGTCTATAGTCTAGTCTATAGTCTAGTCTATAGTCTAGTCTATAGTCTAGTCTATAGTCTAGTCTATAGTCTAGTCTATAGTCTAGTCTATAGTCTAGTCTATAGTCTAGTCTATAGTCTAGTCTATAGTCTAGTCTATAGTCTAGTCTATAGTCTGTCTATAGTCTAGTCTATAGTCTAGTCTATAGTCTAGTCTATAGTCTAGTCTATAGTCTAGTCTATAGTCTAGTCTATAGTCTAGTCTAGTCTATAGTCTAGTCTATAGTCTAGTCTATAGTCTAGTCTAGTCTATAGTCTAGTCTATAGTCTAGTCTATAGTCTAGTCTATAGTCTAGTCTATAGTCTAGTCTATAGTCTAGTCTATAGTCTAGTCTATAGTCTAGTCTATAGTCTAGTCTATAGTCTAGTCTATAGTCTAGTCTATAGTCTAGTCTATAGTCTAGTCTATAGTCTAGTCTATAGTCTAGTCTATAGTCTAGTCTATAGTCTAGTCTATAGTCTAGTCTATAGTCTAGTCTATAGTCTAGTCCAACGGTTCCCAAACGGGGGTCCGCGGACCCCTAGTGGTCCGTAGTAAAATCCTAGGGGGTCCGCGAAGACGAACGAAAAAAACCATGAATAAACAATATTCTGCTTTTATATGTATGTACAAATATATCCAATTTTTGTGCAATAATCCCAAATTTTTTGGTGACTTTTTGAATTTTATTTTTTCGGTTGTTTATCAGGAAGAAGCTAGGCCCTACAAATTTATTGTATAACTTTTATAAAGTAAAGTACTGCGTGATTTGTAATTTTTATTTCCTGTATATGTACTGAAATAATGGTTTTTATTTCAGACAAATAATACTCTGCCTTACAATTAAATTAGGGATACTGGTATTCCGGAGTATGAAGTTCAATTCAAATACAAGCTTATTACAGATTTAAGTTTATCAAATTGTAAGCAAAAGTGTTCTCGTTTGAAAGGACAACAATTATATATTTCCAAAACAGAGGTGACTCTTTATGCATCTCTTTATAAATATTACAATCCGACGTGATACACAGATTTTAACTTGATTTTGTCGACCAATACATATTATTAAATTAACATCAGAAAATCCATAGCGTTTCGCGTAAATATGTAGCCAAAAACCATGAAGTAAAATAATTCGTTGGTATTTTAAAATTCAAATTTAAGTTCCAAATTCACACTACTTTAACAAAGAGTTCAAATCATATATTATGCGGATAACGCATTCCGCAACAACATAGAAGAAGTCCATCTTTCTTATATTATTTTCCCGAAAACTTAGCTCACTTACTCAGTTCACCCTTTGCAATCGCAACAAATTTTTGAAAGCACATGTGACAATATTTGATAAAGAAACTACCTTGAAGAAAAATGAACATGAAAGATCTCACGATCATAAAATTAAACATCATGTTAACATATCAACAAAGAAGTCATTCTATCTTCAAAACATGCAATTGAAAACCTATCTGAAATAATATATATTCTCAATGTACGGGAAAAAAAATATGTATGGGGGTCCGCGAAATTAAATAAGCTCTTCAAGGGGTCCGCGAAGTAAAAATCAGTGGGAACCGCTGGTCTAGTCTATAGTCTAGTCTATAGTCTAGTCTATAGTCTAGTCTATAGTCTAGTCTATAGTCTAGTCTATAGGTCTAGTCTATAGTCTAGTCTATAGTCTAGTCTATAGTCTAGTCTATAGTCTAGTCTATAGTCTAGTCTATAGTCTAGTCTATAGTCTAGTCTATAGTCTAGTCTATAGTCTAGTCTATAGTCTAGTCTATAGTCTAGTCTATAGTCTAGTCTATGTCTAGTTAGTCTAGTCTATAGTCTAGTCTATAGTCTAGTCTATAGTCTAGTCTATAGTCTAGTCTATAGTCTAGTCTATAGTCTAGTCTATAGTCTAGTCTATAGTCTAGTCTATAGTCTAGTCTATAGTCTAGTCTATAGTCTAGTCTATAGTCTAGTCTATAGTCTAGTCTATAGTCTAGTCTATAGTCTAGTCTATAGTCTAGTCTATAGTCTAGTCTATAGTCTAGTCTATAGTCTAGTCTATAGTCTAGTCTATAGTCTAGTCTATAGTCTAGTCTATAGTCTAGTCTATAGTCTAGTCTATAGTCTAGTCTATAGTCTAGTCTATAGTCTAGTCTATAGTCTAGTCTATAGTCTAGTCTATAGTCTAGTCTATAGTCTAGTCTACAGTCTAGTCTAGAGTCCTAGTCTATAGTCTAGTCTATAGTCTAGTCTATAGTCTAGTCTATAGTCTAGTCTATAGTCTAGTCTATAGTCTAGTCTAGAGTCTATAGTCTAGTCTAGAGTCTAGTCTATAGTCTAGTCTAGTCTATAGTCTAGTCTATAGTCTAGTCTAGAGTCTAGTTTATAGTCTAGTCTATAGTCTAGTCTAGAGTCTATAGTCTAGTCTAGAGTCTAGTCTATAGTCTAGTCTAGTCTATAGTCTAGTCTAGAGTCTAGTCTATAGTCTAGTCTAGAGTCTAGTCTATAGTCTAGTCTAGTCTATAGTCTAGTCTATAGTCTAGTCTAGAGTCTAGTCTATAGTCTAGTCTATAGTCTAGTCTATAGTCTAGTCTATAGTCTAGTCTATAGTCTAGTCTATAGTCTAGTCTATAGTCTAGTCTATAGTCTAGTCTATAGTCTAGTCTATAGTCTAGTCTATAGTCTAGTCTATAGTCTAGTCTATAGTCTAGTCTATAGTCTAGTCTATAGTCTAGTCTATAGTCTAGTCTATAGTCTAGTCTATAGTAGTCTATAGTCTAGTCTATAGTCTAGTCTATAGTCTAGTCTATAGTCTAGTCTATAGTCTAGTCTATAGTCTAGTCTATAGTCTAGTCTATAGTCTAGTCTAGAGTCTAGTCTATAGTCTAGTCTATAGTCTAGTCTATAGTCTAGTCTAGAGTCTAGTCTATAGTCTAGTCTATAGTCTAGTCTATGGTCTAGTCTATAGTCTAGTCTAGAGTCTAGTCTATAGTCTAGTCTATAGTCTAGTCTATAGTCTAGTCTATAGTCTAGTCTAGAGTCTAGTCTATAGTCTAGTCTATAGTCTAGTCTATAGTCTAGTCTAGAGTCTAGTCTATAGTCTAGTCTATAGTCTAGTCTAGAGTCTAGTCTATAGTCTAGTCTATAGTCTAGTCTATAGTCTAGTCTATAGTCTAGTCTATAGTCTAGTCTATAGTCTAGTCTATAGTCTAGTCTATAGTCTCGTCTATAGTCTAGTCTATAGTCTAGTCTATAGTCTAGTCTATAGTCTAGTCTATAGTCTAGTCTATAGTCTAGTCTATAGTCTAGTCTATAGTCTAGTCTATAGTCTAGTCTATAGTCTAGTCTATAGTCTAGTCTATAGTCTAGTCTATAGTCTAGTCTATAGTCTAGTCTATAGTCTAG